GAGAGAGAGAGAGAGAGAGAGAGAAAGAGAGAGAGAGAAAGTGAATTAGTGAGAGGAAGAAAGAAAAATCAAATAAACGAGTGGTCCATTTTCAAACACGGAAGAGAATCGAGGTGATAGTTGTGCGGTGCTGTGTCTTTTTGTTGTGACCTCGAAGCTCGTGAACTATTTTTCTCGGACTCGAGCAACGCCCGAGAGAGTTATCGTGACTATGAAAGATCTATTTCCTAATCTTTTACGAAAAAAAACAAGATAAGAAGTTACATATAAAAAGAGAGAGAGAGAGAGAGAGAGAGAAAAATAGTTTAAGTAAGATAGAAAAAAGAGAGATAGATATAACGACACAGCATACGAGCAAGGGTAGAGTGTATGAGAGAGAGAGAGAGAGAGAGAGGGAGGTCGCAGCGACCGAGTTAAAGCGCGAACGCGGAACACGGGAGTGTCGTCCACCATTTTGGGTGCGCGAGGTTATTCGGTGCGTGCATGGATACATCGTTCAAGAAGGAACTTCATCATCCTTCCTTATTGGCAAACAATGAAAATTGGCAAATAGGAATGGTGCGTTTGAGGGGGCTCGAGAGTGGTAGGTGGTGATGTAGCTATGGAAATCAAGGATCCAGGTGTCGTGTCGTGAGTTCGAACGGACGGAGAAGGTGGTGCTGGTGGTGGTTGATTACTCTGTGCTTTCGTGCTTGTGCTATATAGCGCATTATAAATCTCTCGTGTTTTATTATTTGACGATTAAACGAACGTAAAGAAATATAAAAAAAGAAAAAGAAACAGTAAGGAAAGAAGGAAGGAAGGAAGGAAGGAAGGAAGGAAGGAAGTAAAAATAAATCTAAGGATAAATCGAAATACGCGGGCATTTGTTATCGGTCAGAGGTGTGCCGAACTCGTGATCGTTCGAATTCGCGAGTTTTCGTGTATCCAGATCGTGCGTTGTTCGGACAGGTGGACTAGATGCACGCATCCTGAGTAGGAGGAAGAGAGAGAGAGAGAGAGAGAGAGGGAGAGAAACAAAAGGAAAGAAAAAGAGAGAGAGAGAGAGAAAGAAAGAAAGAAAGAAAAAAGTGCAAATTGGGAATGCTTTGTCTTTCGATGATCGTAAAGACAGAAGGTGTAGGAGGAGGAGGAGGGGGAAGAAGAAAACGAAGATAAACGAGCACGACAACGACGACAACGACGGGGAGAGGAGTACGTTCGCTCGATTGCAAAGCTGCCAAACGTTAGAATAACGGGTGAGAGCGGGGAGGAGGTTCGTTAGAAGATTCGACTACGATCTAGCGAAAATGTTACGCGCGTGTTAAAATCGGCTCGGCCGAGAGCTTAAATGATAAGCATATGCATCTATATTATGTGAAAGAGGGTGAGTCTATCGTCAAGGAAGATATGAAAGTGCGCGATAAGTGAAATATATATATATTTTTTTCCCTATACCAATTAGTTTTATTTATTATCGTTAACTCGTGTCAGATTATATTCGTTCGTGTTGATTTCGATTACGCGCCGTTTTCCTCGCTGTGTCTGTCCGTCTGTCTGTCTGTCTCTCTCTCTCTCTCTTTCTCTCTCTCTCTCTCTCTCTCTCACTTTCTTTCTTTTTCTTCCTCGTTGAACGCAGTGATATATCAACAAGAAAGTTTTTATTCACGCAGTTAATGTTTTTTGTTGCTGATGTGTTCTGTTACCGGTGTAATCTTCAAAAAGAAAGTTATATAAATAAATAATACATCATCGTCGTCGTTCTGATTGAAAAGTAAAGATAAATGATATAAACAACTGTCCGTCTTATTAATTCTTCAAATCGGAACGTATCGGAATGTATCGGAACGTATCGGAATAAACGATAAAGTGTTCGTCGTCATTCGTCGTCAGTTGTTTTCGGTAACTCGTCGTGTCCGGGTCTCGCGTTCGACGTGTTTCTTTACTGTAAGTGAACGACTACTGTTGTTGTTGTTCCTTCACTTTTCTCGCGTTCGTTCTATTTAATTATATTATTATTGTAATAATATAATACATATATATATATTATTAGTGCCGGATCTAACAGTGTGCGACAATTACGAGTGTGTTCATAATTATTCCATGGTTATTATTATTTGTATTACTGTTCGACGTTTCTGCAAAGACACAAGGGATTACGCGCGTGGTCAATGCAGGACGACGACGACGAAGACAATTAAAAACAACGACGATTACACGAGAATTACGACGACATCATTTTCTTCTACGTTAGACGTAAGTAATATTATTTTAATATTTTTACTTCCTTTTCGGTTTCCTTTTTCCCCCCTCTCATAATTAACCTTTCGATAACACACGACAATTATGAAAGGGTTAAGTGATATTTCTTTAACGAGAATTATTCAGTGATATAAGATTTAACAAAAGTGTAAATGTAAATTTGAAACGAAAAAAATGATAGGGAAAGATAGAACGTTATCTGCGTAGTTTTTTTTTTTAGTAAAAAAGAAAGAAAACATTAACGAGAGAGAGAAAGAGAAAAAGAACAAGGGACATTAAGTTAACAAAATTTCTATAATTCTATAATTCTCTTTTTTTGTTATTCGTGCAATGAAAAAAGCGCGGGCATTTTGAATCATTCCATCTCAATACTCGTCGATGATTTCAAGACTAATTTTTTTATTAATTAATTATATATGAAAAGTATAGATACAGAATAAAGAATGTTATTTAAAATTTAAAAAATAAATCAAGTTGAATATATATTGAATCAATACACATATTTTTACGTATATTTACAAAAGTATATATATATCATAGTCATGCAGGTACGTAATTAATTTAATATTCAAATGCATAGCCAAATGTGGATTAGTCCAGTGTGTCAATAGCAGAAACAAATAATGTAGATTTTCATGAATTATGTTGTTAATTATCCATGTTTTCGTAATATTCTTTCTTCTGTTTTCTGTACTATTTATATATTTTCAAAATTAATTATTAATTATATTATTATTATTATTATTATTATTATTTTGTTGTTGTTGACTATTTGAATCGACTGATTAAGAAGATCGAATATTTTTCAAAAAGTTGATCTATGATAAAAAAAAAAAAAATGACTTCAATGGGGTTTTATTTGTCTCTCGTTGATGCATCACCTTTGTGTAAATGCGTGCCCTATTTTCTATTATATTCCTCGATATTACGTAAAGAATTTTTATTAAAGTTGGGAAAAACAAAAGATCATTAATTAGGACTTGTTACTGCTTTCAATACGAATGATTTATAAGTACGTCGTTTCTAATATTTAAAAAGATCATTGATTTTGTGTAAGTAGAAAAAAAAAAGATACAATTTTATTACAAAATAATGTTCATATTGAATTTGTAGATATATTTGTTTGTTTGTTTTTTTTTTTTAATAATAATTACAATTGTCAAAGTTTCATTTTAGATTACTTTTCAAACATATTGACTTATTTTTTGATTAATTTAAGAATTTGCAATATTCATTCGAAAGAGTTAGATTTATTAATTTGTATTTATGTACACACACACATGAATAGAGATTTTAAATATATTTTTTTCTTATAACTAACGATGATATCAAACTTAACGTGTTCAATGTTAGAAATATTAATTTAGTTATGTATACACGTTTATTTTATTATAAATGTAAATTTAAGTATATAAATCAAAAATAGAATGATTAGGGTTTTTTTTTCCACTATTTCTCTATTTAATATCAAATATCATAATTATAACGTAAAAATATGTAGAATTTAGTGTGTGAATAGGTTTCGTTGAAGTACCAATTCAATGTGATTTCATTAATGGCCGTGAAATACCGAGATTTGTGGCTTTTCCAAACGGCCCGCAAGTATTACAGGATTTACGAAAGAGCTTTTCGAGTGAGAATTCAATTATATTATTACTCACTTTCCCTTTGTTTTTGTCTGGTTAAATTCCAAATATTTTTTGGTTACATACATTTTAAACTTTGATATTATATTGAATAATATATTGAACAATATCTTTTTTTAGAAATATTTTTAATTTTCTATAAAAGAATTTTTATTTCACATTTCGTGTATTTTAAATATCAAAAATAAATGAATTGAAAATTTATTTTTATTTTTAGTATAATCCCATCGTTGTTTAGATTTAATAAAAAAAAAAAAAAAAAAAAAATTAGGTTTTCTATTTAAATATTGTTAAAAACAATAATAATATATATATTTAACGTTTAAAATTTTTATGGAGAACATTGTATAATTTAGTTAGAAAAGATTTTACATAAAGACATGACTTTGAAAATAATTTTCTCTTATTTTGTTCTCTCTCTCTCTCTCTCTCTCTTTTTTCCTCATCCTCCTCATTCTTTTTTATATTTATTTTCTTTCACACACTTAATATTTCTCTTGTTCTCTTTGGTTCTTTATTAAAGTTTCTTTTAAAAACTTCGCATTGCGCAGTACCGTATCGAAGTATATTACAAGTTTAATGGGGAATCATCGAGTATGGAAAATTGGCCGTGTTCCAACATTCTATTCCTCCATACTACTTTTCGGACCTTTTTACATTTAGTTATTCGTACTTTCACGACTTCACAGTATCCATAGTATATTAGTAATATAAAGGAAGAATGAAATAAAGAAAGAGAGAGAGAGAGAGAGAGAGAGAGAGACAGAGAGAAGAAAGAGGAAGTCGTTTTCTTTTTCCAAGAACAAGAAAGAAGAAATAAAGATTTGTTTATTGAGTGAGTCAAACGCTCATTATTATACAAATTATCTTTTTTATTTTCCAAGAGAAAGCAATAATAATTTTTCTTTTCTTTTCTTTTTGCATTAGATTGGTGTTGAGATAAAATTATGATTTGAATTATTAGGTCGAGTCATAAATAACTTCTGGTTTTTATGAGACTGATAAGTGCAAGACACCTTTCATGGAGTTTTTTTTTGCACTCTTTGCAATTGTTCAACGTATCTATTGAATTTTGTTCAAATATTACCTTTAAAAGGTTCATCAAAGTCGGAAATACGTCCCTACACTCGGTTCATCTTTTAAGATCGTATCTCCAGAACGGAATTTGACAAACCAATTTCTGACTGCCCTATCAGTTATCAGTCCTGCACTGTATACGCTGCATATTTTTTCAGTTGCCACCTTAGTGCTATTGCCTTGTTTCAATTCTTAAAACATTACATGTCGAATATGCACTTTTTACTATCCAATTTCAGTGGTTAAGAAAAATGGTTAAATGTAACATTGACTACATAAAGAACACATGTGTGCAGATCACACGTGTTAGAAGTGAAATCTTCAAAAAAACTAAGTTTCGAGAGAATGAGACGAAGAAAATTAATGAAATTAGAAGAAAATTTAATTAATTCGTAGGTTTAAATTTGGCGCCAATTCTTTTATTCACATTTTATTTAGGTAATGGTCATATTATAAATTATTAAATAAAAAAAGAGTTGGAATTAGGATAATTAAATTTTTCTTGTATTATTGTTTAGTATTATCAAATTTAAGAATTTAAATAAATCATAAAAAGAATGAAAGAAATAAATGAAATAACGTGACGAAATGAAACGAGACACGTGTCAAATTTAAGATCTGACCTTACATTGTATTTTTTAAATATATCTAATATAATAGTATTATAAGTGCTTCACTGTTAAACTAATAACGAAGACTTTATATAACGTTAGATGACATATATATAAAAAAAATTGATCCAGTCTAAAAATAAAAAAAAAAAGTAATTGAGCATCTCGCAACAAAAGAAAAGGTACACTTAATCCAAATCCGTATTTGATGGATGAAAAAAAAAAAAAAAGTAAGATAAGACGAAAATTCTCAGGATATACATTTTTTGTTTCTTAATACTTTAGTTACTCTTCTTTATTAAATCAAATGGAGAAGAGAAGAAAGAATAAAAAGATTAGAATAATTATTTGTTAAAAGGAATTTTATTGTTTATGTATTGGATTATTCGGAAAGTAATTTTATTTTTCTATTTGTAAAAATCAAGACAATTTTCATTTCCTAAACTAAAACCTAAGCCTAAAACCTTTCAAGTGAGCATAAACAGTTAAATTTGATAAACTTAACTTCTCACTGATCTCACCTGTTTGTTATTTGTCAGCTTGCATCAATTAATGCCTTTATTGTTTCAAGAAAAAATGAAATTATTTTTCGAACAATCCAATAATACAAATTTCTGTGAACTGTTATGGGATTTAGAAAAAAAAAAAAAAAAAAAAAAATATTTCAACATAAATCGTTAGTTCTTTTTTCACTATTGGATTTTTCTCTTTTTCTTTTACTTCTTCTTCTTCTTCTTCTTCTTTTTCTTATTTT